AAAATAAAATGAGCTTAACTAATGYTTTCAGTATGATCTCTTCCTATATATGTCAGGGAGGTTTTTTCCACTATGATTATGAGCTGCTGCTCAATTTTCTGTCTTAGAGATCCACTGATTGCCAACACTCTGCTCTGTGCTGCTAAGCAGAAAGGATTCAGGATTTAGAGCCATGCTATCCAAGGGAACTTCTGTGACATTTGAAGTGCTCTGCATTTGCCTCTATTCAGTATTGCAGCCCCAAGCCACATGTGGCTTACTATTGACCATTTGAAATGTGACTAATGCAACTGAGGAATGGAATTTTTCCATTTTAATTAATTATAATTAAATAAAGGGATGTGACTCACGGTTATACAGTATTGCACAGTGCAAACTTGAGTCACCCTTTTGGAAAAAGTAAATTTTGGTGAATTTGATTCACAAAGAGATCCACTATGGTCAAAGTGTCATATGCACAATATTTCCTGTGAGATCTTATTGCATTCTTTCTTTACTGAAACCAGTAGTTTTGCCCCATGTAGTCATTGCCCATATACTATTGTTAATTCAGATATACACAAAAGAAAACTAATAAATTTTATCTGCAGGAATTGGAAGACTTTTTCTAGAAAGTGACTTTTCAACTTAATATTGAGGGAAAGAAAGGTCATCCTGGGGTTGAAGACTAAGGATGGGTAAGAGGAGAAGGAAGAAGTTTCAGGCCACGATGCAAAAAGTATGCCATGATCAGGAAATACTGGATAGTTCAGAATAACTTGCATGCAAGATTTCTTTGGGGAATACTGGATAATTCAGAATAAGTTTGCATACAAGATGTGTTTGTGAGAAGCAAGAAGATAAAGAGAAATTTAGAAAAATATAAAAATATTCATAGTGTCAAGAACTATTTTTTATGTAATTTATGTAATTTTCCACAAAATAAATGTTCATTCTATCACATATATGTAGAGTATTATTTTCTTTCCATTTTAAAACATCATTTATGTTTTAATCATTAAGTAAAATAACTAAAATCGCAACATTATTGCCAAAATTTATTACTTGGACAAGATTGAGATTTAGGAAATTTATTACCATGATGTCACCAATGGTTTATAATTTATAAGACTTTGGATTAGACATTAGCACAGTTATTATTTCCTTTAATGCCTTACCTCACCACAGTCTAATAACATTCAGGAAATCCAAAAGACAAAGGGGAAAGAGTAGTCTTGAAAGCTAAAAATAGTCGTTGAAAACTGATGCAATCATGTAATAAAATATGGCACAATAACTTACACGATTCGCTCATGGTATCTGCTAAAGCAATTAGAGTCCATGCAGCTAGATCTTTGTTCATGTATTACCAAACATGAAAACTGTTTCAGCCCAAGTAAGACATATAGGCTATAAGTTAAATTGTGTACATTGGCCTTAGGACATTCAGTCTTACTATTTGCACTTGTGATTTTCTTCATACTCTTCGAAAACAGAAAATCACTGGGTAGCCRTCAGATTTCAAAAGGCTTTACAGGTACAGCCGAACAACAAACTAACAACATAGGATGTCAACATACAATTATACTAAACAGTGTTCTTTCACAGTGAGCCAATATATTTATACATCAAATAGGGCTTGCTCATTGGAAAATAGAAACATCAATATTGATATCTTTATATCAATGATATTAAAGTTATCAGATACAGTAAAGAGGGTTGTCCATTTTAATTAAATATTTTGGGCAAATTCCATTAAATAATATAATTTTATAAATACCCAACATAATTTTAAAGGATTGGCGGTTATGTTCATTTCAAAATAAAATCACATATTTAAAAATCATTATTTTTTTCTAATTTCTTTTCTTTTTTAATTTTTAAATTGATTTTTAAAAATAAATGACAGGGAATGCATTACAATTCTTATTGCACATATAAAGCACAATTTTCATATCTCTGATTATATATAAAGTATGTTCACAACAATTCGTATCTCATACATGTACTTTGGATAATGACTGAAACCAGTAGCCATTGCTCGTATACTATTGTTAACTCAGGTATACAGAAATGAGTATAATTTCTGAAATGATAATCATTCAAATAAATCATTCAGAAATGATTCATTGTTCAGGAATGCTTTTCAACTAGACACTTGTTTAACTTTAGGAAAGAACAATTTTTGAGGCTGTCTTAATTTTTACTGATGAAAACATAGGCAGACATTTCTATTGTGGTATAAGAGACTGATCAATATCATGAGACAGAATGATTTTACTGCAGCAACTATAAACAATGGAAAAGAGAAAAGCATTTTTGAAGGCATAGTAAGTATATTTTATACGGCATTATAATGCATCTTCACATCAGCCATGAGATTTTCTTATCCTATTACGGATGAGGAATCTGAGTTTTAGAAGGGTGTAGAGACTTGCCTGAGGCCCAGAGCTAATAAATGGAAGAGCCAGGGATAACACCCAGCTCTGTCCGATTTCAACATCCCTAGACCCCATTACTACATGTAATGGGTATGAATTTTATACTACCAACATTTATATGCAAGAAATCTTGTTTTGCACCCCTATCCAGAAATCAAATTACATTTATTTCAAGTCCCCATCTCACTGAGCTGGAAAGGAAATTCAATTTGTTCTGCCCCTCTATAGTACCATATAAGAATATAGGAGATTTACATGGTAGACACTCAGTAATGTGGGTAAAAATTACATTTACAAGAAAGATATTGTATATCAGTAAAGGAGGTGCTCAACTTAGCATTTATTTATGGAGTTGAATAAAAAGGAGGAAAGGTTTGTACAGATTACCTGACACCATGACGAAGGATAGTTTTTCATCTTTTCTTGAACCATAACTGATATGCTTAACTTCTCTTCCTGTGAAGTTTAATCCTCCACCTTGTAAATCAAGTATTACTTGAGATTGGAAGTATTTCTCATCTACCTTGGCATTGTCTGATTGACCTGGACATATGATCCCAGACATCAAATGCCTCATATGAGGGGATAGTCCCCCTGTTTTTGTCAGTATAGTAAAATATCATAAGCACAAGAAATGATCAGAATTTTTGTAACATTATTGTCCACCATACCACCTCTCCCTGCTGCTTCCTTTAACAAGTAATTAATAATCTCATACAAAAATTTTAATAACATTTTCTATGATCCATGGCAATAGAATTTAGATCTTTTCTTGAGAATATCTCTTTTTTATTATTTCCTAATTTGTAATCAAAATGTAATCTAAATATTTAGAGGTTCTTTTATGTTTTATTATAATATATAAATTAATTCCAGATATAATATTAATATTTATGTGCCTATGATAAATTATTTTTCTGAACAAAGTTTAGTATTTTTTGAGTTAAGGAACTATCTTTAATACCTCTTTTACATTACATTAGGAAATTGATAATAAGGGTAACAACATGTTAAATTTTCATAGTATTTTTTAAAAGTGGTAATATGAGCTGTAGTTTTATCTTACTGGTTTAAAATGTTTTATATAATTTTTTAAAATTTATATAAAAAGTCTATGAGGCTAAATATCTTAATCTAAATTGATTTGGGGGGACAAGAAACCCGGAGTTATGGGATGGTGACCCAAGATCCAAACCTGATTTTTGTCTAACTTGGCTGGGTGCCTRGCTCACTACCCTTCCCACTACAACTTGGCACAATTCTGATAAAACCTATCATATTACACAATGTAAATTATAGAACTAAGCTATAGAACCATCATTGCAAAAGGACAGCTAATTTCCAAATACAGGATCGATACAAGGAAAGAATAGAATAGATAATTCTCACTCATACAGTAATAAAACCAAAGAACACTTTTGGTTTACTTCCTTTTTTATTTTCCTCTTTAATTCAAATGAGTTTTAAGAGTCATAATTTGAATTCCTGCCATTAGCTCCATCAGAAGTATTAAACATTACATAAAGTGATCCTTACTGATCATAAAATGAACACCACTTACTATTCTAAGATAGAAAATACTTTTGTGTGAATGGTAGAGAAATTGCCAAAAAAGCTATTTTATTTCAGACTATGGATAAGTTAATGTTCTACTGGAAAAAGCATACATATTCTGACCTGATTAATTCCCAGGGCACTTGGGTCTGAAAGAGTGCTCAGAAATGTTTCCAAATTTACTCCATTGTCACATATAGGTTGCAGTAGCTAGACACATCTGACAACAGGTCTCAGTCATACATTAGTCACCTCTGTATCGAGGTTTTTGTTGTCATGCTTTCCCACACACATTCTACCTCGGGACATGAGCGTATTTTTATGTGTAGTCAAAAGTTCATTTCTGTCTCTGGGTACTTGGGCCCCCCTCGAGCAGAATTCCCTGTGATAAAAATGTGCTTATTGTTCTAATGACATCATTTCCAGTTTCACTGGGCCTAATATTCAGTTTGATGTTTCGTTCTTAGAGGCAGATAGGGATAGTTTCAGGAACCTCCCCTGCTGCATGTGCAAGTTTAAAATACAGGAGAAACATGCATGCACCACAGTTTACAAACAACAGAGTGGGGAAATAATTGCTATAGCTATTTAGCACTTTGTAATGTAAGCTCTACAGAAAAGTAAGGGTATGATTTATTCTAGACATATAATCTTATGGATTGTTACTTTTTTTTTTAATCCAGGAAGAAACTTAAACTTTATTTAAATTTAAAATTCTTTCTTCAAGAGCCATTAGGGTTTCCTATCCTGACACATTCTGTTCTTTAGAGTTCATTTACATGTTATTACTTGTAATATGCAAACTGCTATTAAAAATCTAGCTAAGTATAAATTTGGCTAATACCAGCTCTTTTTTATCCACTTAATTTATTTTCTCATCTCTGAAGTTTACACAAATAAAAACATTCCTTGTTTTTGGATGCGCATAATCAACCTGTATAATAAACTGACATGTTGAAAATACTTTGTCTTATAAATGAAATGAAATCCTTATGAATGAAGCCCTTCTCTTGTTTTAACCTACAGGACAACATTTTTAAACTGGAGGACTCACATTTTGAAAATGGCCGTGGGAAGAGTCCTTATGACCCTAAGCTGCTGACAGCATCTCTTTTAATAGGTATGTAGTAAAGGATCAATTAAACAGTGAATCTGTCATAAAAAAAAAACAAAACATGTTGACTGTTTATTTTTTACCTACAAAGATATTTCACTGTTAATCATAAACAATCTTAGCTTGAGAACATCAGTTGTGATATGCTCAAGTATTTTAAAAATAAAAAATAAAAAGCAACGCTAAATTCTCTTTTGGTAACTGCACTTTCAAGTAGGATTCTTTTTGTTGTGATGATTTAGTAGCATCTTTTAAATGGCCTGCTTAGCTGGGAATGCAGTTTAGCAGTAGCCTAGCATGTGTGAGACCCTGTGTTCAATCCCCAGTAGTTCAAAAAATTTAAAAAGAAGAAATGCAAATGGTCTGCCTAATCAATATATAGTCCCACTTAAACTTCAGTATTAATTTGATAAAAAATTTTATTTTTCATCTCATGAAAAGTTGCTTAAATAAAGAATTTTGAGAAATTATTAAGAAACAATGCCATTCCTTCTACTCTGTTAAATATATCCAAGATCTATAACTGCCTCAAATTTTGGACAACTTGTTCCACACAATCAGTGTAAATGGCAGCACCTTTGGCAAAGCCCTTCTGTGTTGCTCAAGTTTTCTCACTCTTTATCTTGTTTGCTAGAACACTCTTAAAGAAGCCATTGTGTATCCACTTTTGTGATGTTAGGCTTTCTTTTTAAAAATGTGCCGCAACATTTTGTGATTTCCTCTACTTTTCCTCTTACCATGTTTTCTTCAAGCTTTCCTTTATCCTCTTTTTATTCAGTGTTGCATTAGTGGGTCAGGGATGTTCAGGTGTACTTCCAATGGTCAGAAGTGGGTGATAGAATTAGGTAGAAGTAGGAGATAATGTTAGTCTGTATTGAAGGATAAAGAATATTTTGTATATCCTTTTAACCATCTCCATACTGTGATTAAATAATTACACAAACAGTGATCAATATTGAAGTAGTGTTTCCTTCCTTCTTCCTTTTCTTTGTATTTTGCTTTTTATTCCTTTATTTTTTGAGGCTACGAACAGCATAACACATAAAATATTCTGTGTTGTGACTCTGCATAGTGATACAGAAATGGTGTTCTTTTGCCCTTTTTCTATAAAATATGGAATATAATTATTTGATAGCACGACCAAAATAATGTGAAAATTTCAAGTACAAAATTTCTAGTTTAATATTAAATCTAGATTTTAAAAAATTAAATTATTACCTGATGTGTCATAAAATTGTAAACCTTTTCATCATTTTCCCTTTATAAATAACTCCCTTTGTACTCAAGAAAATAAAATTCTAGTCATGTAGCCTACCACATTAATTATGAAGATAAATTTTTCCACTATTATGTGGTGTTTATTTTATCACTAATCCCTATTCTATTAAGAATAAAACCACTTCAGCATAAATCATCTCTATTGCTTTTCAGATCTAGACAATTGTATTCCATTTGATCCATTTATGCAGTACTTTAACAACAGTTTAAGACTTGGAGGAATGTAGCACACATATAATTTTCCTATTCGCAGGTAGCCTAGTGATTACATGTGAATGCCTTCCTCAAGAGCATATGCCGAAATCTGAAACTCATCTCAAAAATGGGAGGAGCCATACTTTGTTCTGACTTGCAAGTCTATACTTATTCAAATTTGAACACTTATTTAAATTTGAACACTGAGAACACTCAAAAAGCAGCATACAGAAGTGTGCATAGAGCAGGTTTACTTTATGGTATGCTTCTCAGTAGAATTTTGCTTGATTATTTATTTTAATAGTCCATGGAGACAGGATGATGATAGGTAGGTATTACATAGCTCCATGAAACCATGCAAYATTCACAAAGAATATGAGACTTCACAAGTTTGGTTTTTATATTACAATTTCTTTGAAAAATCTGAATAGGTTTTATGAAAAGGAAGATGATAAGGGAAGGTCAAGGAGCCAAAGAGAGGAAGTGTAGTTGAGAAAGAACAATAGACATTTCAGAAGAACAACCTTGGCATGGAATACCTAATATGAATAAATGACCCAGTAACTTTCAGAGGTAGAAAGTGCTTATTGACAAGGCCAAAAAAAATTAATTTTTGAACTAAATAATCAGAAAGATTCAGAAAAGGAACAAGCTCTAATAGATCTGGTAAAAATACCATTGATTCAAGACCTATAACTTTCTTTTTGGAGTTTGTTTCCTTTATAACTATGTTATTAATTCTTCTTACAGTACATTTAATTGCTCTTGTTGAGATTTTCTTGGCATTTTTTTAAATGCTGCTTTAAAAAGAATGCTCACTAGCTTAATAGAGGTTTATGGAATAAATATTTTCTACAGCACTTCCCAAACTCTTTTTAAAATGGGGGTAACAGCTGTCTCTGAAATATACAGGTTACTCTTTGTATATCAGAAAATGGTCATTAGGAAAGCCTATTTGCCCTCGTAATCTGGAGACGTTTCCATCGTAAAATAAAAAATTGAAGGTGGTTCCAGATTGCTTCCTTCCCCAATATTGGGATAAAACTCCAGGTTTGGCTCAAACCATCTGTAAGCTGGCCAGGTGGATTTTTGTAACAGATATTTTTTAAACCRCCGATTTCAGTATACAGCAGTTTCAACTAGTCGTATACTTTAAAACCAGATGACAGCTGAAAAACKTAGTTTACACAGCCTATCAAGGTTTGGTATAACCTCTTTCCAAAAAGTCATACATTTTTAAAYTGATAACCATAGAAAATATGATTTATCACCTAAGTGATGCACACTTACTGAATTAAGTCCCCTAATCCTATAACATGTCCTAAGTTTTTCAAATCACCTTATTAAAGTTAATTTTGCCAATCTTCTTTAATAATGATCATTTTGTCAATATAAAATTGCTCCAGAATTTATTTTTAAAATATTTCTGATTCCTTCCACCTGCAAAATATTTTTATGTCTTTGTTTTAAATTTCTTTATTAAAGATAGCAGTTGCTCCCCTGCTCAGAATAAATGCCAGGTGTGAACACATCACAAGAATAAAACCTAGTATTTTCCACACTAATTAAGTACCATCTCACATTTTCGTGATGTGAAAAGAATAGTCAACTTGAGAGCAATTTTATTTCCTTATTAAAATCTTTTCCAGGCAATGCAGCACTAATAATTTAGAAATATTCCATCACTAAGAGATATTATTGAAGTCTATTTCAAAGGTCTGGGACTTTCATTTAAGGTTTATATCGTTCAGCTGGAATTTTGCCTTGACTCAGGAAAGAATATAATTTAACATTAGAAAATGGTCTCTCTGGGTGTTAGAATAAGTAAGGTACTCACTCCCTAAATTAATTAAATGAAATTGAGAAAATTATTTGAAACTCGCTGAACCTTAATTTCTTTGCACATAAAATTGTCTGCCATACTAATTCTACTAGTTTGTTATGAGAAGTAAATAAGACAGTTTAATGGTGTGCTACCATTTTTGATGTTTGCATATCTCTGGAATATATGTAAAGTAGAAACAAAAAAACAATAATAACAACAGCAAACCTAGTAGTAGAGGCCCCCTGTGGGTAAACTGGAAAGCAGATTAGGTCTATTATAAATTTTATATTTTTAATTCTGTGCCATATGCACATGTTACTACTCAGAAAATGTTAGTTTTAAAAGAACAACAGAATTAAGGAGCCAGCATGTGGTATTTATTGGCATAGGGAAGGAAGGTGCTCAATAAATGTAAAAATGTAATATTATTGCCACAACTTTCCATTCCAGGGAATTAATTTTATCTCTGCTGTGGGTGTGGGTGTGGGTGTGTGTGTGTGTGTGTATGAGAGAGAGAGAGAGAGAGAGAGAGAGAGAGAGAGAGAGAGAGAGAGAGAGAAAGAGAGAGAGAGCGCTTGAGAAGGACAGAGAAAGGGAAAGGGAGGGAGATAAAACTTTTTTTCCTTCTGTTTCTAATTACTCTTCTACCCTTTGCGTGGAGTTTACTTGAGGTGTTAACAACCGAAAGTCTTGGTCTTTATGTCTTTTTGATTTTTGCTCAGTTCCATGACACACTCTTTACCTATGTTAGTAATGCTGCAATTTCATCAGGAAATGTTTTTTGTTTTTTATGTTTTGTTTTCCCTGCCTCTGTCTCTTCACCTCACCCTTCTTAGGAATGGTAATCTGATATATATATATATATATATATATATATATATATATATATATATATATATATATATATTATAATCTAAGCCACATTTTCTACTTCTTTTTGAATATGAACAGAAAGTCTAAAGTGCATATAAATCTTTGTTTTTAATACGTGCTTCTCAGTAACTCAACCATGATGGAAATATAGTTTGCAAAAGTTTCTGTTCTTCTCATAGAAAATATTTTCCTTAAAGACAGTTCAAAAAACTTAGGAAAGAATAGAGGTATACTCAAATAGCCATTTCATTTTTCTTTCAAATTCTTTTTTTTTGGGGGGGGTGTTGATGAACCTTTATTTTATTCATTTATTTATATGCAGTGCTGAGTATAGAACCCAATGCCTCAGACATGCTAGGCAAGTGCTCTACCACTGAGCCACAACTCCAGCCCTCAAATAGCCATTTTTATCTTTGGCAATTTCCAGATGGTTAGTTACAACTGTCAGCACTAATTTACCTTAACTAATATGAATATTGTTGAGACATCAAAATGCCCATGTGGTGGTTTTTTGTAGAGTCTTAAAGATCTTATTCAACAGAGAATGCTAAACCATATATGTGTTTGTGTGTGCATTTGTGTTATATATATATAATTGGCTTATATTTAGATACATTAAAAATCCTTGAACATATTATCTTATCATCAATTTAATAAAATTGGACAAATGTCACATTTCTTCTCACTAGTGACTTAGTGAAAACCTCAAAAGTGTGTATCACAAATGTAATGCCATTTGAATCATTGCAGAAAAACCTTAACCTAATACACTACTTCATATTTTCAAGAAAACTTATATTTGGGGTCAGAAAATTGTCAAATTAACACTGTGCTCCAGGATCAACATATAATTTGATAAATTATTAAGTGACCCAGAATATACAAAAGATGTTTGGCCAATAGGTTTTCATTCTAGATATATCTGTTATCCTAAAGTAAACCCAAACTAAGGTCTGCTAAATTTTTTGTAGTCAGATATTTTTAGATCATTTCAAAGAGCCACAGATTATAACACCTCTTTAGTGCACAGTGAAAATGTTCGCGTCTACTAATTGGCCTGTATGCTGGTTGATATATTTTTTTATTTCACAAGAAATAAGCAAAATTTTACCACCTATATTTATGGGCAAAACCAATAAAGACATCATACTTATTTGGAACAATCAGCCCTGATTAGAGTCCCTACAGAAATCTCTCCAGCAATCTCAACAGGAAGTCTGATCTAAGGCCTGGTACAAAGGAACAGTAACTGGTATTGAGTAAGAACAGTAAGAGAAGGTGCCCTCATGGCCACCTAATCATCTGGTTGCCTCCAGCTCAAGAATATCTGGCTATTGCTAAAAACATTATGTGGGTGGGAGGTAATTTCCTATGACTGGAGGCAAATGGTTCCTAACCTGCAAACTTCCTTTCATTTATAAGACAACATTTTAATTTAACTGTCTTAGGAATGTTGAGCGAATAGCTCTTCTACTGAACATCTTTTCTAATTTGAACAAGTTTCCTATCTGCTGTAAAAAGAGTCATAAAGTCAGTCTCACTACCTTTTTCTTCATTTCTATTGATCTTTGTCATCTTCATATAAAAGCAAGTAAAACAAGTTATAATATTACCAAAAAAAAAAAAAGCTAAGAGCAGCGCTCTACCTCTAAGTAATAATTTCGTTGTTGTTATTCTAATTCTCTCTTGACTAGAGTTTGTGTGTAATAACAACCCAATTATGAATTTCATTTACCCTAAAGAAGCTAACTGACAGAATGATTAATCATTGGCATTTGTGACTCCACCATTTCCGGGCAAATCCCCTGTTGAGCAGAGCCTGTCTGATGTTAAATTGCTGTCTTCACCTTTTCGTCATTCTGCTTTCACTTGCCCTGATTTTCACCATCTTGTGTAGTTCATGGGCAATGAGACTCAATGAAAGAGTCACAGATTTTGATTGTTCAAGGTAAAGAAGAGCCAATGCTTCCTCCCACAGGTGTTCCAACATGAAAGTGTTTAAAGTCGATAGGACTTTCACATGATATTTTTTACCTAACATCCTCCAATTTGCACACACAACAACAAAAAATCATTCACCTAATGTTTAAAATCATATCACATTTATGTATCAATCTTTGTAAAAAGATAAAACACTAACTTTCATAAAAATAGGGGTTAACAATTAATAGACAATAGGCCTTTAAATGTTTCAAAGGACCTTTTGAAGTTTATTAGGTAGCTGACTTGTAGTATTTTTGAGCTTTAGAAAAGTGTATTCATTTAACTGTAGTCAGGTAAAACATTATCATCATATTTCAATGTGGGCAAGTCACATTTGCACTTGAAATTTAATTAAGAGAATGCAAGATGCTTTTGAAACCCAAAGATACTTTGCTCTGACATAAGATGATATATGAATACTCTCTATTTAGCTAATAATCTGAAATCAATATATTGTCTAAACAATGTTTGTTTAACTTTAGTCACAACAATCCAAAATATGAGAACAATTTTTAGCAGTTTTTAGGATGAGGTATCTACCTGCATGAAAGTTTAAAGCAATAACTTATTTTTCAGTGATTTTTCTCTTGTAGCTATTTTCCATTGTTTTGGAGATTCTTCAAAATCAAGTCCATTAAAACACCTTAGTGAGCCAAAGGATATAATACAAACTTGCTCCAGGTTGGACCACTGAGAATATCTATTTTACATTGCAAAGCTCTTGTCTAGGAGTGAAAAATAAAAATGGAAATACAGAATATCATCTAAGGAATCAAAAGATTAAAAATATTTGCCCAAAGACATTTATATATGAAGATTCACTGTTTTCCATTTATATAACATGAAACTACCTAGGAAATAATAGTACTAAACAAATGTTTACATTATAATCTATCTAGGCCCTCTCTACTTTCTGAATATTTTCTAGCAAAACCATTAGCATAGTAGTTATCAATAAAATAAAATTAAGGTTTACTATAATTATTGTGGATTGTTTAAAGAATTTTTTTTTCATTTTTGTTGTTTTGTTTTGCAAGTACCTTAATTCACTGTAAGTAGGCAGGCAGTCATGTGTTATCTGGAAGAAATAATAAGAGACACTTTCTGATTCAAGCAAGAAAACACAATTTTTACAAATTTGAATTGTTGAAAGGTAGTATGGTTTAACATAAAAGGCTTGGAATTAAACAGGCCTGTATTTGAAACTTCAGCTTAACTTGCCTAGGCATTAGCTGAACAGCCCTGGATTTCTTAAACTATAAAATAGGGACAACATTATTTACATCATGGGGACATTGACAGAATTAAAGTGAGATAATTTGAAAGTGTCCAGCCAGTGCCTGACTGCCTGCCAAGCACAGAGTGGGTATTCAGTGAACCTAACTGCTCTCTCTCCTGATATTCTTCCTTTCCCTTTGAGTCTTCACCTTCTGGTAATGATCTCTCCGTTATTAAACTCCTATTGAGAATTAACTCAATTTAGTAGTAGAAAGTCAAAAAGCAGTGAAATCTTTAACTGTAGAGATTATGATCTGGGCTTGCCAAAATTCCCTCCTCTTCAAATATATTTCTGTTTGTTGGTAAACTTATTTGGGGTCACTATTTTAGCTCACACCAACTTCAAACATTTATCCCACCAGATATATTAAAAAATAAAAAGCAAAAAAAAAGTTGGCAAAGAAAATATTGGTCCTTTCAGAATTATAGTAAAATTTCATTAATTCAGATCCTACTAGAAAAAAAGTACATAAAAAGATTAATTGCCATTAAAATAAGCAATAAGCAAGATTTTACATTAATCTCTTACCCCACTAAATAAGGCTATTAGATCATAGTAGTTTTACACACATAAAGAAAAAAAGAAATATGATGATAATGAATATAGTTTTGCCTTTTGTTAATTTTGTCACTGGTCTTAGTGGGAAAATAGTAGTTTTGTATATTAGCAGTTGTCACAGAATCAGTTTTTACTCAAATTTTCTAAGTGAGTATTAACTGAATAGTCAAGTACTTAATATCTGAATGATCATTTGGTAAAATATTCTTTCAATAAAGACACAGGATGAAATATGAGTAGCTTTGCATAATGATAAAGGTGCTATTTCTGTCTTCAGTGTGCTCATAACATGAAACTTGTATTATCTTTGTTTTGTTTGTCTTGCCTTAATTGAATTAAATAAAACCTAAGTGGTTTCATTTTGCCACACCACAGATGGAGAATTATACTCTGGCACTGCAGCTGACTTCATGGGGCGAGACTTTGCTATATTCCGGACTCTGGGGCACCACCACCCAATCAGGACAGAGCAGCATGATTCCAGATGGCTCAATGGTAGGTGGTACGTGCAAGAACTCAGGCACATAACCTGTGTATTAAATCACTGGAGAACTTTCCCTTTATAGTGTATACAACGTGACTTGAGATTTAGTGTGTGGTGTGACTTGAGATTTAGCTAATGGTGGTGACTTCATGACTGGGTGTGAGAAAGTTGGGCAAAAAGAGAAAAGAGAGATTAAAATTTCAGGAAGTACATGTTTTGTGACAAATGTGAAGTTTCTCTGTAGTTAGCTATGGAAAGAGATCTGAGCTAGAGCTCCGGAAGGGAGGCAATGGAAAAAGATAAGATGGTTTACCAATCCTGTCTTACAGGGACACCACAAAGACTCTCACAGCATAGCATTCTTTTTTCCTCCACATTTCCCCTTATTGCCTTGAGAACATACTATAAGGTACTGAACATCAAAAACATTTTTTTTTCTGTTCTAATAACATTATACTGACACTGTTCTTAAAATCCCAAAGGACTTTTGTATCATTATTTCACTTGACTTCATATCATTATTTTGCATAATTTCACCTCTAATTTCCTCAAAATCCCCTCTCTCATTTTATAGGTGAGAAAATTTGGGTCAATATGTTATTTAACCCAATAGTCAAAGATTTGTAATAAGAACCYAGTTTCCTGAACTTTAGGCACAGGCTTAATTACTTGAACTAGTAGATTGTTTATTTGTAAATTACTCTTTAACTTTTCTATATTAATTTAACATAGCAAAATGTGTAAAATGCATATGCTTGTAATAAATAAATAATATTTTAATTCAGGTTTTTAACTAACTGATCCTAATATCTACTTCTATGTAGTGGAAACTTCAGTCATGCTATTTTTTCTGCCCTTACTTCTGAGAAGCCCAAAATTTATTTTGTCACTTCTTTATTTCATTGATCTATTATAAAAAAAATCATAACTTGGCCTCTATACCTCAGTGATACTTCAGGGAACCATGAGTTGTGTGTGATGATCTTTGTTCTGATTTATCCCGTGCTTCAAAGTGACTATTCAAAAACATAAATCGGTCCTCAAGTTACCTCAGTCAGCATCTCTTTCCTCCTGTGCCAACATTTCTGATTGATCTATTATTTTTCATGCATTAGAGACAAAGACAAGACTCTTCGGATGCCTCATCTGTCCCTTCTGCCTTTATTTTTAATTGCATTGGAATTCTTCATAAATTACCCAATTTAAATTTCTCTCTCTCTCTCTCTCTCTCTCTCTCTCTCTCTCTCTCTCTCGTATTACTTTCTTTCAATGACCTGAAATCTTGCACCCCTATCCCACAGGAAACCCTTCTTTTAATCATCATATGTCACAATGTCCCTATATGTTTAAATTTGTAGCTTGGTTAGGATTTGTTTCCTCAATATTTGCACTTCCTTTAGTAACTTTCAATATGCATTTTATCCAATAATSTATCCCTGAGCCACTCTTCCTCCAAAGGTCACCTATGACTTTGTCTAGTTTGTTTTTTTTTTTTAATCAATCTCCATTTAGACAACCTCTCCTGAAGCATATGCCACTGCTAACTAGCCCATTCTCAAAACACTCTCTTCTCTTGTTTTCTCTAAACATGGCTCCAGTTCCACACTGATGTTTTAAATATAGATAGTCCCTAAGACCATTCCTGATTGAGTACAAACACTGTGGTAACCATTGGGCATGAAGTAAAATAGCTCCTCCTTGGAGTAAAGGAGGTATAGTGCTACCTGGGTGACCATCTGAGAAACTGAAAGCCTCACCAAGAGAAAAACAAGGCACTGAGTTGAAAACAAGGGTGTGTGTGAAACTCCAAGAGCCCAAAGGACAACTTTGGAATATTTACCATTGATTATTAAACCTGGGATGTGTATGGAGGCAAAATGAGTCAGGAAAAAAAAAAAAAAACTCCATTCCAATTTACTGTCTGATCTATTCTCAAATGGAAATATTTGTGTGAAAGAGAGAATGTTTGTTTTTTTATGCACAAGAAGGTGACTTTGATCTGCTAAGGACTGTGAGGGGTATACAGGCTTTCACTGTCCATGAGAAAAAAAAAATCTCATTAGAAGATGGAATAACATAAAGGAGAGGGTAGTATCCATTTCATTTTTATGGCCTTGGAGGAAAAAAAGTCATCAAGTTAAAGCTGCTTTTATGCTGCACGCTTGCATGTTGACAGCTGAGTCTGAAGAATTTACACTGTGGGAAAACACAGTCATTGTCCACAGCTCTGTACTTCATCTTTGAAAATGTGTAGTTCATTTGAGAATTCAGTTATCAGTCTCTCAGCACTAAATGTGAGAACTGATTTCTCCAAATTAGCACAGAGGTTCCATGTGACAGGGTGCAGAAACCAGGCTGCTATGAGATGGAATGAAGGGCCTGGAGAAATCGAATACCTTCTCAGAATGAAATTGGAAACACAGTGTTTACACACTCATGCATAAAATAAATGAGCTTTGAGGAATCAGCACAGACTACACAATCATCTGTGTTGCCAGAAGGAATAAATTGCCTTGTAAGATATTTTTTTTCCAGGGGTCTTTGGTGCTATTAAATTAATTTTGGCATATGCTTTACTTTACTTTTCTCAAATAGGTTCAACTCTTTTGGAAGAATTAGTTCATCTCTTTTAGATGGCTCTTAATTTTTTTTTTCCTGATCAAAAGAGAAAAACAAAATATAACTAAACAAACAAATAAAAAAAGAAAAGAGAAAAACAGCCATCTAGATTTGGAGCCTAAAATATCTTAATTTTTTTAAATAATGGAATTTTACTGCTTCCATAATTACTATTTATTTTGCATTTTTAAAACAGTACCAATAATGTTTCAATTATAGTTTTAATGGAAAGAAATGGGAAGGAATGAAAAACATTTTTAAAAGATGGAGAATCTACTGAGTTTTTACATATTAATATATAACAATATTTTAAAAAATTCTCATCATGTACACAAATCCCTATTTTAAGTTTGCAAGGGGTTTAGAATGACATTTGACCTCATAAAATACTAGTGTRTGAATTTGACATGATATACCAAAATTCACTGTTTTTTTTCTTGTGTTACGTGAATGTTCTTGATATGATATGATTTTAAACTTCAATTACAATTTCAGCTTACATTAATTTGAAATAAAATAAATTTTTTCTGTGTCTACTTATAGTAAAATAAGCAATATAAGTAAATGAATTTATGCTGCTATGATAGAATTTCTTAACATTAATACTGCAAATACTACTATAATTACTGTACTCATTACGCATTCATTAGAGCAGATGAAGGGCTAGTCCACATTTATTTTTCTATTTGTTGAAGACTATTTTCCAATATTGTTTATCTTGGAATAATGTTGGGATGCCATATGATTTGAAAGAATGACTTTCAAATCTTTAAAGTAAGAAAGTTTTCTCTTGACTTTGGACCTTATGTATAATGAAAAGATAATACTACCTACCTCGCATAGTCATTTTTTTAAATGACCACATAACAACATAAAAAAAGAAATGAGCAATGGCTTGGCATTTAGTAAGCACTTAATAAATGTTAATTATCTCTATATCCTTTTCTCTTCAACGGGGTGGAGCATGCTTGGGAAGCTTTGTCAGATTCATTCTGTGAGTGATTATAGTTGAGCCAGGGTGAAAGGGCAGCCGGCGTTGGGTCTAATATATGAAACCACATGGAAGCCTGAGAGAGCCAAGGCCCGGTGAACACAAACAGAACTAATTACAATGCCTGAAGTGTGAGGCCTTCCCACTCGTTTCAGGAAGACCTGTTTTCTTTTAGCGGAATTTCCTAAAAGGATCATGCCTGTGGATAGACCAACCCACTTGTTTTTTTCTGTAATTGGAATGGTATGCTAGTCATGGTTCCACTTCCTCTGCCCTGTAACATTCATACCATGCTGGTGGGCCCTCACTGGAATCAGCATCATTTCCTCTGTGGTCACGTACTAGGATATTGCATGTTCTCCTAAGATTCAAATTTCTCCACAAGATTTGTTTTTAGAAAAATAGAACCAAGAAACATGACTGCAGATAAACTCTGAGTGTACAAATTAATATTATGTGGTATCAGATACCAGTCTCAAATCACTCATACTGCTCTTTTAATAAACTATTTTAATTCAACCTTRTTTGAAGGTACTTTTTTATTCTTTAATAAGTAAAATGAATTACCCAGTTTTGCCTAATGTCAGACTTCTTAATGATGTCATTTCTCTAGCTGAAGTAAATTAGTAATATTTTTCTGATCTTCGGAGAAAAAGCCCTCTGTAAGCCTTGCTTTATGTTTATTTGAGCAGATAAATCTTACAGAAGCTGAGCAATGATTCAGTTAAAGTAGAAACAACAAGGGCTCTTTGAAGATCATGAATGAAATAACTAGAATGTAGTATATTTTAGCTTTTAATTACATCTATGCGTTCCCACTGTACTCATTGTTGTCAATTCTGCAGTATCAGTATAAAGAATCTCACAAATAAAAATGACCWTATTGATCTGGGAGTGGGGGTAGTAGTTTGCCTAGAATTCCCAGTACCATCAAAAATACAAACAAACAAAAAAGGAAATATTTGTGGTCATTTTTTTTTTCCTGAAATTGAGCTAAAACATGAAAAGGCAATACTTTAAATTAAGTATTTATATCTATACTATTAACTTGGCAGTCATCACTATGTTTTCTCATGAATTCTGTTATGCAAAAAAATTTCATCCTAATAAAGAATTCACTCCCCATAGGAGTAAAATCTTTTCAATAAATAAATATATACCATGAAATTATTCTATCCTCAAAATGGTTAATAAAATCACTAAATATGACTTTATTTTCCTTAAAAAGCTAAAAGTTACCAAATATACTGTCACTTGATCTTCTTTTCAAAGACCTAATTTTTTTGTCACTTTTGTCATAGGAAACATCACTTTTAACCAGTTTTATTTGAAATTACATTGCAGAAATGAAGAATAGTGAATAAAAACTTGGAATAAAAATTTACTTGTTAGTAGCAATAT